TCAGATAGGTCCGATTAACTCTATCTCAACAAATTTCAGATGTAAACTTAAACTGAAACTCCCACCCAAGAAGAAATACCTTTAAGAGAAAGGGAAAATGTTAAACTTGTTTCATTTATGCTATTGCTATGCTGAATGATCTACAATCTTAATATTTCTTTAAATGCTAAGATCCCATTCCGAGCAAAATGAACCGTTCCTGCTATCTGGAAATTTCAGTTGTCCAGACATATGGCAAAAACATTGCAATTAATTAATATTGCACTTGAAATTAAAAACTAAAAAGGTTCAGTGAATATATGAGTCGATATTGATGATTTTGATGGTTTTTTGTGTGTGTGTGTGTGTGTCAGGAGCGACTTGAAAAACTGCAAGTTGCTTCTGGTGTGAAAGAATTGGTTGTCTGCAAGGATGTTGCCCAGGGACACCCAAATGTTTGATGTTTTACCATCCTTATGGGAGGCTTCTCTCATGTCCCTGCATGGGGAGCTGGAGCTGACAGAGGGAGCTCAACCCGCTCTCCCTGTTTTCGAATCACTGACCTCTTGGTTAGCAGTCCTACTGGCACAAGGTTTTAACCCATTGTGCCACCAAGGGCTTCCTATTTTGATGATGATAATGTGAATGTATCACCTCAGAACATGTCTAAGGATGTTCTGTTTAACATCTCCTAGACAACTAAGTGAGTCATTGAGAACTTAATCCGTCCATATTTGTGCAATGCAGACGTTAATTTCCACAGCTGCATCTCCAGGTCTGTTTCCTAATCATGTTCTAGGAAGAAGAAGAAATGCAACCCATTAATTTCTCTCTCTAGGTGTATACACATGAAGGTATTTTGTCATGAATGTTTTCCTTTACAGCTTCTTGGGAGTTTTTCTTTCTTTCTTTCTGGAAGCTGAGCAGGAACAAAATGGTCTCACCTGATCTGTAATTTCCAGTAGCTTCTCCACTGATGTTTATCTTCTGGAATATGAGGCCAAGCTGAAAAACAGTCACAAACTCTGTGGCACAGGACCCTCTGTGCTTTTCATTGTTTTCAGGATACTGTATACATTAGTCATAATGCCATAATAACACAAAGCAGACGCATTCTTTCCATGTCTTGCTACCCAGTAGAGGTGGATACAATCTAATTCAGCAATTATTGGTCTCACATCACATACACTGGAAATAAAACAATGCCTTTTGTTAAAAGGTAAAAGTGAATGTTTCCCTTTGACATTAAGTCTAGTCGTGTCCTGGTCTGGGGGGTAGTGCTCATCTCAGTTTCTAAGCCAAAGAGCCGGGATTGTCCGTAGACACCGGCAAGGTCATGTGGCTGGCATGACTGCATGGAGCATTGTTACCTTCTGACCTAGCAGTTCCTATTTATCTACTTACATTTGCATGTTTTTGAACTACTAGGTTGGCAAAAGCTGGGGCTAACAGAGGGAGCTCACCCTACTCCCCGGATTTGAACCGCCAACCTTTTGGTCAGCAATTTCAGCAGCTCAGCGATTTAACCTTCTGCACCACTGGGGGCTCCTTCTTTGCAGGATACAGTTACATATTTTGGGATCTTTGTAATTTTTTTTTGTAATCATATCCTGCAAAAAAGCAATACATTAGTAATAAATTTATATATTTATTTCCAATGTAATACAATTGTCTTGTCACATCATCTGTTTCCAGATCTGTACTCCCCCTACTCTCTCAACATTCACATAGCATTGCAAAAATGCAACTCTGTCAATTCTATTACTTCAACTTATTATAATCTCAACTATTATGTATAACTAGCTGTGCCCTGCCACGCGTTGCTGTGGCCTATAGTAAAACTTATCAAAGTTGAGGTAGATATCTGGACTATTATGAAAGAGAGGTACCTACCTATTCCTTCCCCCTTTTCCTCCCCCTTTCTCTCCTTTCTTCCTTCTCTACCTCTTTCTTTCTTTCACTACTTGGTTTCATCCTTCTCTCTTTCCTTCATTCCCTCCCCCTTTCTTCCTTTGCCTTTCTTCCCTCCCTGTTTGCTTCCTTCTTTCTCTTTTTATTTCCTTTTATTTCACCACCATCATAACAATAACAATAATGCAATGCATTGCCTCTGGGACCTGACACCTCTCCCATTCCCCCTAAAAGGGTCTCATAGGAATAATAGCATAATAATAATAGAAATAACAACCTTTACCCGCCACGTGTTGCTGTGGCCAACCTTCCCTCTTTCTCTCCTTCTTTCCCTCCTTCCTTCCTTCCTTCCCTCCCATCTTTCCTTCCCCTCCTTCTCTATCTCTTTCCTTCCTTCCCCCTTTTTCTTTCTCTTCTGGTCTCTTTTCTTCCTTCTCTCTTTCCTTCTTTCCTTCCCTCCCTCTTTCTCTACATCTTCACCCTTCCTTCACTCCCTCTTTCCTTCCTTCATTCCCTTTTTTCTTTCCTTCTCTCCTTCCTTCCTTCCCCCTTTTTCTTTTTCTTTTGGTCTCTTTTCTTCCTTCTATCTTTCCTTCTTTCCTTCCCTCCCTCTTTCTCTACATCTTCGCCCTTCCTTCACTCCCTCTTTCCTTCCTTCATTCCCTTTATTCTTTCCTTCTCTCCTTCCTTCCTTCCCTCCTTCCTTCCCATCTTTCCTTCTCTTCTTCCTTCTCTATCTCTTTCCTTCCTTCCCCCTTTTTCTTTCTCTTCTGCTGTCTCTCATTCCTTTCCTTCCATCTTTCCTTTTCTTTCCTTTTCTTCTTCCTTCTTTCTCTAACTTTCCTTCCTTCCCCCTTTTTCTTTACCTCCCTTTCTCTTTCTTCCTTCTTTCCTTCCTTCCTGTCTTTCCTGGATTTTGACAGGGCGGGAAGGGGCGGGGTGGGGTTTGGAGGTGGCATGAAGTAAAAGGAGGTAAGATTGGGGCAGGGGAGTGATGGAGCGTGGGGTTGTGTGTGTGTGTGCGGCGGCGGGAGAGTGATGGAGCGTGGGGTTGCGTGTGTGTGTGCGGCGGCGGGGGGAGTGGGGTTGCGTGTATGCGTGCGGCAGCGGGGGAAGTGATGGAGTGTGGGGTTGCGTGTGTGTGTGCGGCGGCGGGGGAGTGGGGGTGCGTGTGTGTGTGCGGCGGCGGGGGGAGTGGTGGAGCGTGGGGTGCGTGTGTGTGTGTGGCAGCGGGGGGGGGGGGGGGGGGGGGGGGGGGGGGGGGGGGGGGGGGGGGGGGGGAGTGATGGAGAGTGGGGTTGCGTGTGTGTGTGCGGTGGCAGGGGGAGTGATGGAGCGTGGGGTTGTGTGTGTGTGTGCGGCGGCGGGGGGAGTGATGGAGTGGGGTTGTGTGTGTGTGTGCGGCGGCGGGGGGAGTGATGGAGCGTGGGGTTGTGTGTGTGTGTGTGCGGCGGCGGGGGGAGTGATAGAGTGTGGGGTTGTGTGTGTGCGTGCGGCAGGGTGTGTGTGTGTGCGGGAAGTGGCGCGGCGGGGCTTGGAGTGGGCATGGCTTCCGTAGAGGGAACGTTGGCCGGAAGGCTGTGTGCGCGCGCCAGGGAACTCGTTGTTTTTTATTTTGAGTAGATACGTTTGTACCTTGTGGGTTGTGTTATGGGCATGGGAATTTTGGTTAGGTTTCGTTGGGGTTTTTTTTAGTTTTGTTGTTTTGCCGTTTTGTGAGTGTGTTGTTGTTTTTTCATTTTGAGTAGATATGTTTGTACCTTGTGGGTTGTGTTATGGGCATGGGAATTTTGGTTAAGTTTCGTTGGTTTTTGAGTTTTGTTGTTTTGCCGTTTTGTGAGTGTGTTGTTGTGTTGTTTTTCATTTTGAGTAGATATGTTTGTACCTTGTGGGTTGTGTTATGGGCATGGGAATTTTGGTTAAGTTTCGTTGGGGGGTTTTAGAGTTTTGCTGTCCCGTTGAACCAACCTAACAGATTTATATATATAGATTATTGTAACATGTTTCATAATTGTTCACCCACAATCTTTCTTGGACATTGCATGGTGTAAATTTGACATTGCTTTTACCCAGATTATCTCAACAAATGAATGGGATGTGTTCTCATATTTCTAAGTTCTGTCCTGTTCCAGAGAGACTAAAACAGAGCAATGGATTCAGGAAAAGAGATTCCACCTAACCATTATGAAGGACTTCCTGGTGGTAAGATCTGTTGAACAATGGATATGTTACCTCAGGTTGTAGTGGAGTAACCTTCTTTAAAATAGGAACCCATATTGCACTCTCTTATACAGTAGAGTCTCACTTATCCAACCTTCACTCATCCAACGCTTTGTATTATCCAACGTAGTCTGCCTCCCACCCAGAATAATGTCCAAAGTGGGAGAAAGAAAGAAACCTTGTGCATTTTGGTGCTAAATTTGTAAATAGAGTAATTACTACCTAATGTTACTGTGTATTGAACTACTTTTTCTATTGATTTGTTGTAAAATAAATTTGTAATTTGCATAATTTGTAAAATCAGAACATAATTTGACGCTTATTATGTTTTTCCTTAATCCCTCCTTATTATCCAACTTTTTCGCTAATCTAACATTCTATCGGCCCGTTTCTGTTGGATAAGCGAGGCTCTATTGTATTTTTATTCATATTGTAAGGGTTGCAAGACTGAACTATGACTATCAAGATATAGTCACTCTCCGAAGGCACATCGGAAAAGCCAAATTTTAACATCTTTCTTAAAGACTGCTAGGGTGGGGGCTTGCCTGATCTCACCAGGAAGCAAGTTCCAAAGCTCTCTCCCTCGTTCCCACAAGCCGTGCCTTGTGGGAAGTCAAGGTTTGTAAGATCTTCTGAAAATGAAGATGTGCCTCCCGGCAGTCCGGTACCCTAGTCCTGAGCTCTTTTGGAGCTTGATGCTAAACAATAGTGCTAAATAACCCTCCGTTCATAATTTGCTTCAAATATCATGTTGATTTTGACTCCCTTGTGTCCTCATAATTGAATGTCAAGACCACACAAAGAGAGAGGGAAGGAAAGAGAGAAGGAGAGAAAAAATGGAAAGGAAGAAAGAACCCACAAATGAAAAAAAGAGAGTGGCAAAGTTGGAATACATGTTTATCTTTGCATCTATTTATTTCATAATTCTGTCAAGTCTGTTTAGGCAAAAAGAAATGAGAAATGCATTAAAATTATAAACACATTATAGCATAAAGAAAACAACGCTCTTAGAACCATTTCTGCATATGAATGCCTGATGGTGATAGGGTTGCCATAGTTTGGAAATGTCTTGGAGGCACAAGGAACCCAGACATAGCACATCAACTACTTAGTGACTCCTGGTGGAATAAAGTGAAAACCTTAAACCCCACAGCAGAAGAGAAAAAGACAGAAATGTGAGGCAAGGAACAGAACAAATAGACTCATGACATGAGCCTGGCCTCACTATCTTCTGACATTCCTATCTCCCACCACCTTTCTCTGCTCAACAGACCTATTATTTCTGAATCTGATCACAAGCTGTTATTGTCTCTCTCTTCCAGAATCTACCACTCCTTTATTGCAGAGATGGTTAATGCCTCCAAGTTGGAGTATATCTCAAGCTGTTTCCAACTATGGCCTACCAATGCCCAACTATCATATCACATATGGGGCAAGCTACCAGTGTCAACCATGGCCTGCCAATGCCCGACTATCATATCACATCTGGTGTAAGCTACCAATGTCAACCATGGCCTACCAATGCCTATCATATCACATCTGGGACAATCTACCAGTGTCAACCATAGCCTACCAATGCCCAACTATCATATCACATCTGGAGTAAGCTACTAATGTCAACCATAGCCTATCAATGCCCAACTATCATATCACATCTGGTGTAAGCTACCAATGTCAACCATGGCTTCCCAATGCCCAACTATCATATCACATCTGGGGTAAGCTACTAGTGTAAACCATGGCCTACCAATGCCCAACTATAATATCACATCTCAGGTAAGCTACCAATGTCAAACAGACTCATCCAAGGAGGGAAACTATGGTATGGGGTGATGATATAAATCTCCCTTCCCTTGATAAATAGAATATGAAAAGCCCAGCTCTTTTCATTGTTCATAGGAGGTGGATTCTAAGAAAGCAAGAATACCTAGATTTAAGATCATATGGCTAACAGAACCAACATTAAATCTGTTGCCGATCTCTTGCTTTATCTGTCACAGCTTTTCAGAATTTGGAGTTGAGAGGAATGTCCACAGAAGGTTAGAGAGAGAATACAGTACATTTGATGTTTGAGATAGAGCATTTAAATCATTTCCTTACAGTTAAACAATATAAAGATTATACAATGAGATGAGAAGCCATTTGCTATCCATTAATTTCACTCCAAATTTGTCAGCCTAGGTAAACACCTCACTTTTTCCTCATAACAGAACAAGACATTGGACTTGGAACCAGAGACTTGCATATCCTATTTGCAGGTCTTTTTTGGTGCCTCCCATCATGAGACTCTACCAGCATTTTCCAAATGGTTAATAACCTGGGCCTTTTGCACTGGGTAAGGAAGACTCATTTCCCTTCTGTTCTGTTCTCACAGAGCTTGGCGTAAGGGACACACTGTAGTGCCAGACATCCATGGTCGAAAAGTTTGTGTGGCAGTCGCCCCTTGGAAACCCAAGTGTCCAGCCTGGGGTCATAGCAATCTAGTGAATCAGAGTCTTCAATGGCATTGTCAATGGTGAGGCAGCGACCTCCTGTCACATACAGCTTCTCATTGATGACTGTGGCTCCATGATGCATCCTTCTTTCCTTCATATCTGCACACTTCACAAATTTATTGACCTTTGTATCATAAGCAATTACTCGCCTGGTGTAACCTGGGAAGAATAATAATTGTGAATTAGAAAAATGTTTATAAATACACATAGAGCAGGCATTGTCAAACTTCAGCCCTCCAGGTGTTCTGGACTTCAACTCCCACAATTTCTAACAGCCTACCGGCTGTTAGGAATTGTGGGAGTTGGAGTCCAAAACACCTGGAGGGCCGAAGTTTGCCCATGCCTGATATAGAGTCATAGTCACATAGTTATTTTATCATGCAACTCAGAACTCATATACGTTGAGACAGTAGGTGAGAACAACAAAAAGCAAGACACTGTTTAATTAAAACCAAGAGTCCCATCACTTGGGCCAATAAGCAATGCTTTGTTTTGATGCAAACCCTGTCTTAGAGTCTTGGAATACATTGCATGCACTTTTTTTTCAAAGAAAAAGCACACAAAAATCTGTTTGTTATTATTGTAATTCTTCAGTCCCAGTCTCTGATAAGCCAGGAACAAATGGATGATGTTATGACATACTTATTTGGTAAATGAAAACTTATAGGCTGTAAATCTCTCCACTTTAAAAGAGAATGAATTATGTTTGAAATTAGATGAAATGTTTGTGTGCTTTGTTAAATAAACCAAAACGCTTATGCCTTAAGCTTGTCAGCTGAATTACTGCCACTCTGATTCAAAACAGATACATTTGAAGATTTTAAAAGTCTTCTTTCTCATGTATGCTGTCCTCATAGTTTAGGATCTCTTACATATAGGCAGTTTGGTTCATTTTTAGTTTGCTGTATGCATGCTGTAATTCATGTCAGTTCTACATATTGATTTCTCGTTGATTGAGTTGATGATACTTTTGAGAGAGTTTTTTTTTAATCGTGTCAGGAGCGACTTGAGAAACTGCAAGTCGCTTCTGGTGTGAGAGAATTGGCCGTCTGCAAGGATGTTGCCCAGGGGACACCCGGATGATTTGATGTTTTTATCATCCTTGTGGGAGGCTTCTCTCATGTCCCCGCATGAGGAGCTGGAGCTGATAGAGGGAGCTCATCCGCCTCTTCCCGGATTCGAACCTGCGACCTGTCAGTTTTCAGTCCTGCCGGCACAGGGGTTTAACCCACTGCACCACCAGGGAGAGTTATAGTTCTGGATCAGCGGTTCAACCTGTGGGTCCCCATATGTTTTGGTCTTCAACTCCCAGAAATCCTAACAGCTGGCAAACTGACTGATTTCTGGGAGTTGAAGGCCAAAACACCTGGGAACACACAGGTTGAGAACCATTGTTCTAGATCATGATAGGAGTGAGGATGCTCAGATCATGGGACCATATTCAGTTCCTTTGGGGCCAATGAGGTGTGTAATGTATAGATTCTGAGGTGTAAACTATATTTAGGGTGAACTTATTTGGAGGGTAGGATTCAGCACAGTAGAGGCCCTGTGTGGTATAGTGGTTTTAGCTTTGGACTACTACTTGGAAAGCCAGGGTTCGATTCCCTGCTTAGCATTGGGGTCATAGCAATCTAGTGTCCTGGCTTTCGGTGGGGCCACCGATCCGTTTTTTTGGGGGGAGCTTTCCAAAATCGGGAGGGCAGATATCTGTTTTCACTCTGGGGTGCCAAAAGATCAATTTTCTATCAGCCTGTTATGTGGGGGTGGGGGGTGGGGTGGGAGGGGGGGTGTCTCAGGCTCCCCTTCCCACGCACTTTAAGGAGTCTTCATCTTATCTGCTGCTTCTACTCTAGAGGAGGCACTGGGTTGCAGGCACTCACAGACGTGCATGCTTTCTGGGCCTGAACACCACACATGCATTCTCTTTCCAAAGCAAGGAGATCCTTGCCTTGGAAAGAGAGAGTGTGTGTGGCATGCACTGCAGGCCCAGAAAGCGCGCACGACTGCCAGTATCTGCAGCCCAGCACCTCCTCTAGAGCAAGAAGACTTTCTTACTCTAGAGGAGGTGCTGGGTTGCCCAGAACTCCTTTAGAGTTCTGGGCCTGCACACCACACACACATTCTCTTTCCAAGGCAAGGATGCAAGTTCTGGGAGGTGCTCTGCTGCAGGCATGCACGCTTTCTCTCCTGGGCTACACTATGCCGGTCAGCCACAAAGTCTCCAAGGCATTTTAAGGAGGCTTCCCACTTCCAGGTAAGGAAGAGTGGTGACCTCCTGGAAGAGGAGAGTAGTTTTCAGGGAATGAGGGTTTACTTTTTGTTTGCTGGGGGGTTTAATAAAAAAAGATTAAACTGTGATGCCAAAAAGCAGTCTTGGAGCCGGTACTAGCTCCCACTTGTTTTCGTGTCTAGCTAATTTTTGTACCAGGAGGGGCCTTCCTGTTATGTGCCCCCAAAGTACTGAAAGAAATGAAGGAAACAGGATAAATGAATTCTGCGCACACTCTACAATGTTTATGCAGGTGTTTACTAAATTAACAGTTGAGGAAAGAGGTTTTTTAAAAAAATCATGTAGTGGTGGAGAAATAATTCTAGCCTGGAGTATTTCCTTTGTGAAGATTATTTACAAACATGTAAATAAATGTTACCTCCAACAATATAAATCCTGTCACCAATCAAAACTGCTGGCGCACAGACGTTCTTCACCATCCTTGTCTCCATTCGAAACCACATGTTCCTAGACACATGGTATACCTGGGAAATACATAAAAGGTGATGTGGATTTTTGGATTTGGATGGAATATTTCTAGCCATATAGCAAATACCACTGTCAAAATAGGAAAGGCTATTTCCTTATCTTGATTAATTTAAGGAGACTTAAGTAATGAGTTCTGATGCATGTTCTGGTACAACCCCCCTCATGTTAGTATATTATTTGAGTAAATCTGAAGCTAGAATAAGGACTACATATATTTTTGCTCCATTCACTACAATTAAAACAGTTGGAAACACCTAAATTACTGTCTGTCCTTAGATCATTACCAATCACTCCATGTAGCATAGTGTGAAACCATTTGACCCCGATGACTGGTAATGTTTAAGCTTTACACAGCAGTAGCTTAAATCACAAAACAGCCATAAACTCTAAGGGTCCTTCAATATATTTCTGGAAACATCTGTTTGACATCTGGTTTCACAACACTTGGCAATATTATTCTGTTATATGAAACAGAAATTTCCCATGAATATTTTATTAAGAGTGGCATCTCCAACACTCTTAATTGCCTCTATTCCTTCTGCCTTTCTTCCACTACCTTTATACCTATTATTGCCAAAATGGGACAATATGTTTGTCTCATTGTCAACTAAGGTTTTGTTTAGTAGTTTAAAACCTAATAGCTGCCTGCCTGTGGAGTCTCACATCTTGCTTCCCTGGCTGGTTTTCTGACCTTTGCTGAACTCCTTACTCTCCTGCTTCCTTGGCTAAACTGTTTCACTCCTGGATCCTATTTAAAGTTTTGACCTACAAATTGTAGGACTGAAAGCGATCAGCATAAACTCAGCAGCTGCCCATTTTGTGTATATGTATATGTGTCTTCAAGTTAACCTATGACTTCTAGCAACTTTATAAATTCCTTAGGATTTTCTTAAGAGATGGTTTTGCTAGTCCATTCCTCTGGGGGAAAAAACCCTACACCATTTGGCATTTGGGAGGTGGTCTAACATACAGGTATTGACCAGGGCAGACCCTACTTAGCTTAGATCAGATAAGCTCTCTCATTTAGGCCCTAACTGCTCTATGCCATTTTCTGGCCTTGTGAAACTGTGAAGAAATAAAATTATCCTTCATTTTGGTATTTTGTTTGGTTTTAAGCTATAGCAAAACTGCCCATTTTACCAAACCCTAAAACTTTTATTCGTCCACAGTTTTACAATTCCAGAAATACATAACTGACATAGAATAGGCGACATGGTGAAATTTAGGACTTGCCTGTATTAAACGGACAGGGTTTTGTATCATGTCCTCTCCTCCAAAGAGGTAGATTCTTTGGTCTTTGGCAGACACAGCGGGATGAAGAACAGCGACCGGCATGTTTGCCACATGTTCCCAAACACTGTAGATGCTGTCATACCTTTCCATGGAATTTAAGATGTCTTGAGTTTCACCAATGCCTCCAATGGCAAAGATGTAGTTTTTATAGGCAACACTCCTGTGGGAATAGCGTGGAACCAGCATGGGTTCAATCAGCCTCCACTGATTAAGTCTGAGTGAGAAGATATAAACATGGTTACTGACTTGGTTCTTTCCACTGCCTATGGGAATGCCTCCAAGGAGGTACACATTGCTGTGGAGGCTCACGGCAGAGGCCTTGTAAAGAGCCATGGGAAATTTGGCAAGGCTCAACCATTGGCCTGTCTTCTCATCATACATCAAGACATCTTTGGTTGTTTGTTGGTTATCTTTGCGGCCACCAACCAAGAGGAGGAACTCCTGATAGGAATATCTACGAGGAACATGCCACATGGGTTTGACCTCAGGAGCACTGATGCTATATAAAGAAAACATCTGCTTGTTTGCCAGCTCCAGCAGAACTCTACAAGCAGGGGATGACTGAATGAGAGAGTCGTTGGCAATGAAATGGAAGAAGAAGGTTGGATGGACATACTGAAGCCGTACCTTCTTGAACAAGTCTTGAATGTAGCTTTGTCTTGCTTGGAGGTCATGCCTTACCCAAGTCATGAGAGCCTCAAAAACTTGTTCCTCCTCTCCACACAACTCATCATCCCCAAGATACTCTATCAACTCCAAGGCACATAGCTCTTTCAGGTCTTCAGAAGTGGCTACTTCAGGGAAATATTTCAGAGCCACTGCCTTGGCTTTCTTATTGAGAGTCTCACAATGCAAGATTTCAGAAAGCCTAATCAAACTGAGACAGTTTTCGGGGGTAAGCCGATCCTGGAGGTAGGCCGAACAAGCCTCAAACAGTTTTGCGTACTGAAGCATGGAAGCTGCCTCCATTAAATGCAAAATATTTTCTGCTGTTATGACTATCTCTCCAGTGTAGACATACAGTATAATACAATGGAGAATGCCTGAATCTATGCCTTGGAGGTTGACCTTTTCCTGGTGGCTCTCCTTAAAGTTGTTGCAAAACATGGCCTTGAAGTATGGACTACTTGAGGCAAGAATGTTCCTGTGGCAAGGAATTTCAGTGTCACTTGTACAGAGGACAACATCAGTTAGAATTTGGTTTTGCCGTAAAACATTTAGCTGCTTTAGCAGTTCGCTGGAGAAATCTTGGTCTTTGAAAAGGAGATCTTGTGAGGATTTCTCTTCCATAACAAAACCGAAAAGAAGTCAACAGCAGCCAAATATGAATTCTCTGTGGTTGTGTGGGTTTTCCCCCCAAAATACTTGTCTGCAAGGATGACAATTTAATGGTCTTTCAAAATATTGTCCATTTAGTGCAAAAGAAAAAAAAACCCTCACTCCCTAGTTATATACAGCAACAAGAAACCAAACAAATGAAGAAAACGGCATGCAACATACTATTTTATACAATTAGCCAAGTACTAGATGGGACTTCTGGGGATACTCATGTATGACAGCTTGATCAGTAAAATATAGAGCTTTCAAAAAACATTCAAAATAGATGGTGCAAAATAACCATGCTGATGATTACTGAACTGAACCCAAAGCAAACAATATATTCATGATAAACATCTCTGTGAATATTAGATTTTTCAGTCGAATAGTTATAGTTTCGTATTTTTTTCTCAGTCCCCTCCCCTCCTATTTAGTCATTCCCAAAGAATGCGATTCTGGCAATGATAAACACAACTCCACAGCATAGGAATCTTTAGGGGGAAAATGGTGCACTATATTTATTTACTCCAAGTTGTTTTTGCTTTCATATCAATGAATAACAAGAGCTTTACTTGATGCAAATGTCTGGCATTGTCCACAGTTCTATAGCACTCCATACCTAATGAACACAACACTGACAAAATAGAGCAAATGCCTTTTGCTTTTTTTCACAAAGAGCAACTCTTTAAGGTTTGGTTATTTGAAAAAATAAATCTCTGCGACTCTTGAGAAAGAGGAACAGCTTCTAGCAAATTAAACCGTCTATTCTGCATACTTTGAATGGCTGCCTATATAGTGAAGGGGACAAATACACATAATAAACAAAACTGTCCCTCAGACCTAATTGCACACATTCACAGTGAAAATTATGACAGATAATGTTTACCTTATTCCTCCCCTGCCTTCGGTCGCTTTGGCTTGTTTATTCCCTGCTGAGTCTTTCCATGGCTAGATCATGCACGAGAGGACTTTTAAGAGAAGAGAAAAGAATAAAAGCTATTAATTAAAGCTCTCAAGATTGTGCTTTCTGTGGTGAAAGGTTCATTGGGGGTGATTTCTGGTTTTGTTTAGTGTCAAGGTGCTGTCACAGTTCTCCGAAGGCTGGTTCATGAGGGATCGAAACCAGGGACTGTATACATTCCTGGACTAAGAATAGTTGCCCATGTACTTTTCACCGTGTTGTTGCATGTGACTTGCCAGTTGCCTTCTGCAACAAGGAGGTGAACAGAGCGCTGCTGGACTGAGCATGCCCCAAGGGTGTTTTTCTGGCAAATGTTTACATGCAAAAATAGACGTGAAAATGAAGGACAGGGCACTTACAAAAGCCCAGGCGCAAAACAGCTATGGAGCCCTGAAGTGAACCACTAATTCTAAGCTTGTAAACAGTCGTAAACGTCTAGAATTTCTTGCTTTGTCTGTTCAATCTAATAAAACTATGATTTTATAATTTGTTCTGTCTGGTGGGCATGGGAGGTTTGTGTATGCATTTAAATTAAATGCCCAAGCCACTGAAACTGGTGGCATTTCCTTCAAAACTGGAACAAAACCCTTGTCATGTTAGAATAGGCTTATCATCTGTCTTCCTTTTCCCAGGGTGCATCTACACTGTGGAATTAATGCACTTTGATAGTACTTTACCAGCCATGGATCAATGCTATGGAATCCAGGGATTTGGAACTTAGTAAGTCACCAACACAATTTGGCAGAAAAGGCTAAAGATCTTGTAAAACTGTAGCTTCCAGGATTCCACAGTATGGAACAGCAAATTATTGGGGTTCTTTGTTTGGCAACAAGCCAACCCCCTTCTTCAGCAGAAGCACTCCACCTCCAATTAAGGAACAGACAAGCACAACTTCAATCTTTTGTAGAAAACTTTACACAGTAGTATTTACAAAAGTCTAGCAGATGTTCTTGACTCTCTTTGGCCCTTTTTTCAACACTTTACACTCCAGGTCAGTTCATACCTTCACAGGATTAGCATTTCTCTTTGGTCTTCTTCATTAAGCCTTCAACTTCACTGTACTTCCATCTCCAGCAGCTCAACACTCTGGCAACAACAACTCACCACAACAAGGCCAACAACACCACCTCAACCAACAACAATAGAAGCTTGTGCTTCTTTATTACTCTTTCAGCTACCCCACTCTGACTGTAACTTACTCAATGCCAGCCAGGGTTTTGTGTGTGTGTGTGTGTGTGTCAAGAGTGGCTTGAGAAATTGCAAGTTGCTTCTGGTGTGAGAGAATTGGCTGTCTGCAAGGACGTTGCCCAGGGACACCCAAGTGTTTTGATGTTTTACCATCCTTGTGGGAGGCTTCTCTCATGTCTCATCTGCACTCTTCCCGGATTCAAACCTCCAACCTATCCGTCGTTAATCCTGCTGGCACAAGGGCTTAATCCATTGTGCCACCGAGGGCTCCTTGCTAGCCAGCTGATTAAGTCCTTAATGTTTGCTGTTGGAATGGTCCTGATCCTTATAATTACTTATTGTCACTTTAGAAATGGTAGAATGTTACAAAACTCTGACAACCATGGCCGTTCAAGTTGTGCCAAACTGCATTAAAAGAGTGCAGAAGCCACAACAAACTACAACATCCATGATTCCATAGCATAAGGCAATTAAACTGGTGTCAAACATTATTAATTGGACAAAGGGATATCAGTTGTGCCTACTTTATACAGCAGAAGGCCACTGTCCTTTGTTTTAAGTACAATACCGTTCAATCAAAGTCTGATTTAAAGATAAAGAGCTAGATGGATGGAGAGCAGAGGCCTTCACATTTTCCATCTGCACTTTAGGTGCCTCTGTTTTGTATTCTTAGGCTTTGAAGATCGGATATGTCCTTTGGACAAATAGGTGTAATCTAGCGTTTTGTGTCTTCTCTGCATTATTAAACAGATGCTTATAAATAGGAGCTTGAAGACCCAGCTATAAAAAGTGAGCATTCTCCATTGCTGTTCAGTTGAAAATAAACTCATGGAAAGGTAACTGTAGATTTCCACAAGCTTTTTTTCTCACCCCAACCTAAATGCCTGGATAGGTATTGCATAAGATCCGCCCATGTGATATATTTTGATACCACACTTGCCATCTGCAACATTATACTGTGTCATGAACTGTACTCATTTGAACCACAAGACCACTTGGGTCAGGCATCTTGATCCAGGTCCCACTCCAGCAAACCTTTACTGAACCTTGACCCAGATGTCTCAATGGCCTGGGTTCCCTTGATGTCCAGCAGTGCTAATCTTCACCAGAAGGCTGTTTTGAATTATGGCTTTGCCTCTCATGAAATGGAGATGTTTTTGGATTATGAGAAATATTCCTCTGGAAAGTCAGTGATTTCTTCTATTGACATCACATGTTACCAGTGCACTATAATGCTATAGGTCCCATTTGTATGCAAAATTATTGGCCCAGGGATAATGCCTGGTGAAGAAAATGTAAAATCATGATGCAAGAAGCTATCCAACAAAATACTTCCCAGAGTACTAATGAATTCATAGCAATCTTCATTTGGCCATCTGATCTTCCCTTAGCTGTTGTCACTCTTTTGGACAAGGAAGAGGCCCTTGCAGAGCATTCTTAGGATCCTTTTATTTGCCTCATTGTCGGGTAACTATGGGATGGCGAACATATGCTTCTGCCAATTTGAGTAATGAAACAGGGGAAAGGATAATAGCTCTCATTTCCATTCTTTAGACAGAAGATTAGATGCCATTGTTCTACAGAAAATGTTATTATAATTAGCTTTCCACTCTTCATAATTAACAAATGAATCCCAAAACTGTGTGAGTCTGGAAAGGGATCTTGTAGAACTTTAGAGACTAAGGGAAAGACATTGGTAGCATTAGCTTTTGTAGACTTTAGCCTACTTTCGTCAACTTATGGTGACCCCATCACAAGGCTTTCTTGGCAAGATTTGTTCAAAGGGCATTTGGGATTGCCTTCCTTTGAGGCTGAGAGAGTGTGGCTTGCTCAAGGTCACACAATAGGCTTCCATTGGTTATCTATAGTTTGGCTATCTATAGTTATCCAACACTCAAACTATTACATCATGCTGACTCTTGAAAGAGGAGTAGCTTCTAGTCATTCTTGCTAAAGTGGAAATGGAGTTATGGCTCAGCAGAACTTCAAATTATCCCCCTATTCAGTACCCCTAAGGAGCCGTGATAACACAACAGTTAAAGCCCTTAGCTGTAGGAAAGGCTGCTGGCAGGAGTTCGAAGCCACGAGTTGGGATGATCTCCTGACTGTCAGCCCTAGCTTCTGTCTACCTCGCAGTTTGACAGCATGCAATTCAAGTAGATCAATAGGTACCACCTTGACAGGAAGGTAAAAGGGCACCCCATTCAGATAAACAGGCAAAAAGATTGAAGATGCCTATGATTTGGTTGGAACTATCAATAAGATTCAGACCCTGGTTTATCAACCACAAGCCGTTGTCTGCAATGCAATTACTCTCCTCTAGGCCCCATCTACACTGCTGTATAAACCAGTTTCGGAATCCAGATTATCTGCTTTGAATGGGATTATATGGCAGTGTAATCCAGCCTTAGTTCCACATAGATTAGTCCTCTGCTTCCTGCTTAGCTTCTTGTTACTTGAAGTGCTGCTAAAATGAACAAAATGGCATTTGTGCAGGGATAATAAGACTCTCTAGAATTTTGTTTCATCATTTTGAGTGAAAAGATCCATAGTGATTGTCCTTACAGATATGCTGTACTCTTACTGCCTCCTGATATTTCCACAGTATTTTGGATGCAATCCTCACTCGACCATGAACACTCTGGGTGGTCAAAGGGAAGTAATTTCTAGCTGAGGTCTTCTGACAGGAATGTTGATAAAATGAGGAAAAGTTGTATATTGGAAACTTTGGAACTAGGGCAGAAAAGGAAATCTAAATAAATGGCTGAATAAATAAATCCACCTGGATATAATAATCTCTCCGTTGTCTCTTTACAAATGAGAGCCTGCTGGATGACTGAAAAAAATCTATGGCATTATCCAGTAGATGTTAAGATCCCCTCCTTGTCTTCACTCTTATGAGTGCATTCTCAAATCTGGAACGTTGTGCTATTAGTTTAATGCTTGCCAGGCATGCACCCTCCATATATGCGGTCCTAGTCTGTATTTGACTTCATCCGGAGAAACAAGCATGCCCCCTCCTCAATGTGGCATCTTTTAAAATACTTCAACATGGCCATCAAGCCCCCTCTCAACCTTTTCATATTTAATTTAATTTTACCCAACTCCCTTCAATTTGTTTCCAATGTATAGAAACCCTAAGGTCAACTTATCACTTATCACATGGTTTTTTTGGAATGATTTCTGAAGTAGAGAGTTGTACACTATGTTGGCTTTTGCCTATGGCCAGAGACCAAAGTGGGAATCGGCACTGATGGTTCTTAATCTGGTGGCAGAGATTATCATTGGATTTTTCAAAACTTTATATTTTGGATTACTGTAGATGCATATGTGTCCCCTGCTCACATTCGAAACCCCATTTGTCCAATCGCCAGTAAACTTGTTTGAATTATACGCTGCTGGGAGCTGCTGTAGGGTGAGAAGAGGGCACACAGTCAATCAATGCTGCAAATGAGACAGCGGCCAAAATCATGGATAATGTTTCTTTCTTGGTACAATTTTAGATTTTGTCTGAGAATCTGAGTAAACGCAAAGCCAGTGTCTGTTTTTCTCTCATATCACGTGCTTGGATTTCATGTGGAGGCCAAAGGGCTCTGATGAACGTTTATAATAAACGTTAGCTAGAATATTTGTAAAATGAATGGACTTTATTTTTAATTCCAATCCCAGGCACAATGCTGGAAAAAAATGAAGCAAACTGGCAATTTTCACTGAAAAGCATAAAGGAGGCTGAACACAAGGAGGGGTTGAGACAGATTTCAAGCTTTTTTTTTTTGGGTCAGTACTGTTGAAGATCTGATTTCCAAACAGGGATATTTTTGGTAGAGCTTATTTTACGCTAACATTCCTTAGATGAATGTTGCTTTACGTGCAAATTATACTGTTCTATAACTTCAAGTAATAGAGGGGAAAACAAGAGGAGTAATGATATAACCTCTGTTATAAGTTCAAAGAGTATATGGATTAAGCCTGTTGGCCATGCTCCAATGTCAGTCTGTTTGATGTCCATAATTCTTAGTGCTTATGCATTGCACCTCTGTGACCT